CTATGCCTACAATTCATAAGCAGTGACTAAATCCTACATTAGGATTAATTTTGTGAAGGAAGATCATGATATAACAGATGAAAATTAGACTGAAAATTAATGAACTGAAATTACTTCATATCACTACCATTTCAGGCATCATCTTATGTAAATTACATTTGTGCTCAGTACACCATTTTCCTCCATCAGAGAAATGGGCATAATAAAACATGGTCAGCACTTTGCAGGGACATTGTATGAATTAATAGCTCTGGCATTCCTTAGTAAAGAGTACTTTTTGATTATTTTCATGCAGAGAGATTGTTTTCAGTGACTTCATTGAATTTCCAGCATCCTTAGAAGACACCTTAAAAGATATACTGGGGGAAAAAAAAGGCCAGCAAATCCTGACAAAGAATCCTTTGAATCCTTCAAAGTTTAATTTGTAATATGGCTCATCAAAAAAGTTTCATGGCCACATCTAACTCATTCTTGAATACACCTTTGCATAATCTGTAATACAAGTGAGATTCTATGCCCACATTTGGGTCACTAGTAGGAACTCAAAGTCTAGGGTAACAAAGGATGCCACTCATCAAAAGGTCCTCAAAGACATGTAAATGCATTGCTGGCAGTACCACCTCAGGGTATATCTATAGATAGATCATATGAGTCACACCAAAAAATTCTGGAACCCATTAAAAAAAAACAGCCTAGTGGTACAAACATACCAGACTTAAAAGAAGCTAGGTTAGGTAATTATGTGACACTGGGTAATCGTTTAACCTCTTTGAGACGCAGTTCCTCAATATGTGAAGTGGGAAGAATTGTTTTGCAAAGTTTTTGTGATAAAGTGTTTTGTTATCAATAAATAGCTATATAAATATGAGCTATTTTATGACTACAGCAAGCCAGAAATAAATTAGTCAACATTGCTGATGTTTTTTTTTTCACATAGCAATCCCTAATAGTGGAAGATCTCTGAACATATTTTTTATTAGGAAATGAAGAAGGCTGACCTTGGTGAAAGATAGAAAACAGTCTTTGCTGATCATTAACTATTTTCAGTACTTACTCATTTCCTTTTGCCACTTTTCCCTTATCTAGTGCTCACCTAGTGTTCCTTAGCTATTCCCCTCTGGTACCCACTGGATCTCATCAAGTCCCTTCTATCCAAAGTCACTTATTTTTTCCTTAGTCCTTTAAAGTCTTTCTGGAAAATTAGACAGCTAATCAAATAAGTGCTAAGGTATTAATAGCAGCTTTTGGTTTAGTGTTCTAAAATTCAGAATACTTATATTGAAAGAGATGACTTAAATATCTTCACCTAAATGTGATACCATAGTCTCAGGTGTTGTGGCCAGATGACAAAGATGAGGGAGATTGTTTTGATCAAGGAGGCCTTTGGGCAGCCTTTCATCTTATAAGATACAGATACTCACAAAGCTATCTAGACCTAGGACCAGGTCTGAGCAGATGGACACTTCTGCTGTCTCATGGACTAGTCATATCAGTCTGGCACTAATAGTCAGTAACAACTATGTGTAATTTTATGTGTGTACACACATATACATATATACGTAATATACATATACACCCATACACATAGTATATACATATATACTATATTTTGTTGTTCAATCATTTTTCAGTCATATCCAATTCTTTGTGACCCAATTTTTTTTTGGCAAAGATGCTAGAGTGATTTCCCATTTCTTTCTTCAGCTCATTTTACAGATGAGGAAACTGAGGCAAACAGGGTTAAGTAACTTTCCCAGGGTCCTACAACTAGTAAGTGCCTGGGGCTGGATTTGAATTCAGGAAGATGAGTCTTCCTGACTTCAAGCCCGGCACTCTATCTAGTGAGCCACTTAGCTGCCCATATACTAAGTACACATACACTATATACATATACTACATGTATTACACGTATATAAATGTAAACATATAAACACATATATAGATATGGATATTCACATAGAGATATATTTATATATCATGTGTAGGAGGTAAATTTTGTCTCTCTTCTTATAAGCATAGAAGGCAAAAGAATCAGAAAATATGCCTTAAATAAGTAGCAAACAGTCTAGTTTTGTGGAGCTTTAAAAAAATAATAAAGGTTTGCTTAAGAGTCACCTTCTACAAGGGGCTTTCCTGATTCCCTCAATTGTCATCATGTCTCCAAATCAAAATTACTGTATGCATAGCATGAGTATACACACTTATATGTGCATATGTGTATGTATACACACAATCTAGATTCATATTGCCTTATCTAAATAGATGTCATTTCCCCATAGTAGAACATACATTCCTTAAAGTAGGCAAAAGAACTATTTCATTTCTATGTATTCTTAGCATGCAGTATGGTGACTGTTTTACAATAGGTACTTAATAAAGGCTTGTTGAATTAAAGTGAATTTTAACAATGCTGTAGTCTCAAGAATAGCTAAATTGTAATAGCAACTCACTTTGTTTCCCATGCTGGAACTTTATTGGGAATGGAAAGTTGTCTAATAGCCACTCCTTGCTATGAGATAATTAGTTATGGGTAGATCCACATAATATTTCTGCTATAAAGAGAGGTCAAGATGCAGAAATATCAGAAATCATGTTATTAGATCTTGAGGAATTATATCCAGTGCATGAGAAGCCTAGTGTGAAGAGCTGCCATCAATCCTTTAATTCCCCAAAGTCATCCAGATCATCTTAACATGTTATAAGCCTTAATCCATTACTGACGATGTTATATCTTCTTGTATACAAACAATAAACACACACACACACACACACACACACACCCCTTTAGTATGTTGAGAGATTTGCCATCAATTTTCAAAAATTTCATTTTGTCAGTGGTAATTTTTTTTTAATTCTGGGGTATTCAAATTTGTATTTCAGCTAGGCATGATGATTAGTCAGCAGCTGACTTGGCAGACTATCAAAAAGAGAACAAACCTGAACACTGTCAACGTTCCCATTGTATCAGGAGGGAAGATAAAATTATAGTACCTATAAATAGAAGAATCAGGTAAATGATGAAAAACAAAGGATCAGGGGAAGAAAATTTGGAATGCATCTCAAAATGTGCACTACTGAGCAAAAGGAACTGTTATTTAGAAAGGACTACAATAGATCTGACCATTGTCTAAAGTAAATTCAAAATACAGCAGGATCCATAATATGGAGAGCCACTTGCAAGCCTACCAGATGATTAGCACTTACTCTATTGGAGCTAAAGAATATTTTTACTTTGTTATGGTAATTCTTATCAGGCCACCTTCCATGTATTATACAATGCAAGCGATCTTTAAATTATTGTCAAAGTCTTTCTTAAAGAGAGCTTTCACAAAGGACGTGCAATTCATATCTTCTAGGGTTGCTGTCATTTCTAGGCTAAGTCCCATGGAAATTCATAACTAAAAAAAAATGAAAGTCACAAAGATGCAACTGCCTTCATAATGCCAATGCAGCAGTTATAAATATTTCATGAACATTGCATGGGCAGGGGCAGATCTCCATTTTTATGAGTTAGAATTTGTACAGCTAAGTCTCAGGATTTTACTATTCATAATGCACAGTATGCCCTGTTAGAGCCATTCCGTATAGTGCTTTTTAATATTTATGTTTAATGAAGAAATTAATGTTCTGAAAAGGGAACAAGCCTAGCCAAAGATTTCCCGTTACAATTTTAAGCATTGCTAAACTGAGAAGATTGCAGTCCACAGAACTTTACACCATTGCTGCAGCTATGTGTACATTGGCACAACTTTGAGTCATTCATGATAACAGATCAGAGACTGTTAACTCTAAGCAAAAAGACCTTTTAAAAAAATGTTATAATATAAAATTCTGGACTTAAAATAACCTGAAAAAATTAAGGAGATATAAAGAACAACTTTTCTAGTAAGAAAAAAAATAATTGTAAATGATACACTTTCCTTCTACTTTATAGGATACATACACACACATACACACATTCACACACTTTCACATATATATTCTGGTGTTCTTATTCAGAAAACATTTTAACTTGCTAAGATAATATTGCTTGCTAAGTTCAATAATGAATTGCTATTGCATATTTTAAGGTAATTTACCAAAGTGCATTATCAGTAGCTGTCAGAATACATTTTGAACTAAAAGTAATGAAAAAAAGAACTATTGTGTGTGATGAAATCAAAGAACATGACTGCAGCTAAGTTGTTTTCAATGGCAGGGATAGCTGATTGCCCTCTAAATGATACTTATCCCATGAGGGAAGTAAAAGCCTGAAAAAAAAAATCACAGGAAACAGAAAGCATGAAAATGTCTATCGTAGCTTTTAAAAACATGCATTTGATATTTCATTTCATTTTTGTCATCTCGATCAATTCTTACAAGGAGGTGAGTGCTGAAAAATGCTGCCATGATCACAATGACATTTTAAAAAATAAGCTTGAGGTGCTGCTTGGCTCATGTATATCCCAAGACTGGATCATTTCACATTTCAAAGTAGGGAAGACTTTGCGTAGCTTGATTATATAGTCATTTATGTCTTTTATTTGAAATTTATCTCAACATGACTCAAAAGGAAGAAAAAATCCTAATGGAATTTCTTCTTATGATTTTTCATCTTGGGGCAAATAGTAGTTTAAAAGATTTTCACTAAGGCTTTTAGTAATGCGTTGTTGGAAAATTCGACAATCGATTCTGAAATTCCTAATGCCTTAAGATAGGGTTTTGTTCCTGTGACTGGACAAATGGAAGTTAGAACTTTTATCTTTCTTGAGTTCTTCATAATTTTATTTTCAGCATTTCCTTTAGGTGATGAATTTGCAGTTCAATTGAAGTGTGTTAACCTTCATTAACCAATGAGTTCAGGTGCAATTCTGAAGAAGGATTTCAGGAAAAAATACTGACTGTAGTGTATTGTCAAGTTGAATTAACCTTAGACTTCCCCAGTGTTCCTGTTGTTCTGATCCCCCTTTCGATCACTGTATTTTAATTATGTACTCTACTTATCTGACCTATTTGAACAGGATCCAGATATAGTGCGGAACATCTGTCGCTGGATTAGACAGGCTGTTCGGATTCCTTTCTTTGCCAAATTGACCCCAAATATCACTGATATTGTGAGAATTGCAAGTGCTGCCCAGGAAGGTAAGAAACAAGTTACCCAGATATGTATCTTAAACAAATTTCCTTGTTAATTGTACTGAAAACAATTTCTGAACTAATGTGTGTAGGTCAAATCATCAGATATTTTCAAAATGTTTATCTTTTTTCTAATAAAGTCAAAGAACATGATTGATTAGAAGTGTATCAGTACTTTAAGTTGGGCCTTAAAATGAAGAATAGATCTCACAAAAATTTAGGACTGGTACTTTATTTGATTAGAAAAGTATGAAACAACTAGTCAATGCACCTTTATTTGGGTCTGGGAACAAAGACAGGTGCCATCATCGGTTCTGCTTGAAAATGAATCCCAGCTTCAAATGTACAGATGTATATAATAAACTCATGGTTTCAGCAATAGCATTCAAACCCTCAAAGCCAAAGATCTAGAAGGTTTAACAGCCACAAATCTAAATAACATTCCTAAATCTTGAAAAATATCCAAAATCTACACTAGCCTCAAAGTGGGCCCCATTTGGTTTTCATAATACCCTACCCATGGGAAGACCTTAATAGACATTTGCTGAAGAAATAATAAATGAATTAATGAATGAATAACTTAAGGAATTTTTGAGTTTCTGCTTTATCCAATAAATTATTTTCTGAAATCCTAAGTATAGGGTACAGTTTTTAAAAAGCATGTGTGCAAAGAAATGCCTACCATTGGTAGACCTATATGGTAGATTCAATACAAGGCCATTAGAAAGTCTTCTCTACCATATTTTGAGTTACAGTCTCAAGAATCACATCCTGAATGCTATTCTTTCTACCTGGAATGTTCTTCACTGTCATTGCTCTTCTTTGACTTCTGAATTGCTATCCGCCCTGTAAAGCCCAATTTAAATGGCACCTCCTCCTTAAAATGTTTCCTGATGTCCCCTCGCTACAATGACTTTATCTGTTAGATCTCACATAGCACTTTGTTTTATACATCTCCAAAGTCTTTCTTGTGTAATATTGAAGATAATAGTTACCCGTTTCCATTTTATTTAGAACAGAAGTGTGCCATTAGTGGATAGAGTGCTGGAATTAGAGTCAAAAAGACCCGGGTTTAAACCCCTTCCTAGAACTTACTAACTATATAACTGGACAAATCACTTACCTTCCCTGAACTTCAGTTTCCTTATCTGTAAATGGGGATAACAATAGCACCTACCTACAGGTGGAGTAGGGATTATCCTTGTCTTTTTATCCTCATAAGATAGCACAGTGCCTGGCACACAGTGCATGCTTAATGAATGCTTTTTGAATGGAGGCATGGTAACAATTTGCATTTATAGACGTCTAAAATTTATAAAATTCTTTGTATACATTATTCCCACTGATTTTTATTACTCTCTTGCCAGACTACAAACTCCATAAAGTCAGATATCTATACTCATCTATACTCCATAAAGCCAATATCCATACTCATGCTGTGCACAGAGTTGGCATTTAATAAATGTTTAGTGAATGAATGTTAGATGAAAGTAGATGGGAAGGAGGTGGCAGTGAGTATTCTTAGAAGTGTGGACTGTTTCCATGCCCATTGCTCTGCCTGTGGGCTGGAAAAGATTTCAATTAGTCTTGTCACCATAACTCCAAGTGAATGTTGACTTCTTTCTCTATACAGGTGGTGCAGATGGTGTTACCGCCACCAACACTGTCTTGGGCCTGATAGGACTCAGAGCAGACAGCACACCCTGGCCTGCAGTTGGTGTAGGGAAGAGGACCACATATGGTAGTGTGTCTGGTAAGTTTTGCCCTTCATATTGTGTTGTGCAGCCTGAGAGGCCTTTGGTAATCGCATAGAAAACCAGAATAGCTTCTCTTCTCTAATACTCAGTTCTTAAAATTCACTGCCAATCAAGATTCCTCACAGTCAGGACAGATGGAACAGAACTGAGTGTGAAAACTTTCATGATGCTCTTTCCTTTTTCCTAGAACAGTGTAACAGAACACCAGGATAGAGATCAGGATTGGGAAATTCTGCTCTCCTGTGGCCTCTGCTTTTTCATATAATTTCTCATCCTCCCAATAGTCATGCTCCATACTAGACAGAGGCTAATGAAAGGATAATGTCAGGGGGAAGTATCTTGATTGCAGTATCTATTTAAAAGACCAAACTACTTTTCTTCTTCCTCTCATGTCTGAAGTCTGCTTTGCTTCATCCAAAACAAACCACTTTAAAAATTGCCTTGATAGATTCAGAGAACAAGATCTTTTATGATCCAAGCCATGTACCTTCATGTGGTCTTTTTTTTAATCTTCTAGTGCCTATATTAAAATATAATAACAGTAGTAATAATAACAACAGCAACAACAATAATGAAAAGTTTTAAGCCCATGATCCTGTTCAGTGTCTGCATTCACTAATGTATTAATTCATTGACCCAGCTCACTCTGTTGCTGTGACAACATGAACTAGGTCTTGCTGAGACAATGCTGTGAGGTTCTTGACTGTACTGGTATGGGGATTAGTCTCCTTGGTGATAGAGACAGTGGTAAATATACATAACATAATAGTGTCCCACTGTTCAAGAAAAACAGTGCTGAATCAAACCAAAATGTGCATATGGATAAGACTGGATAGACCAAAATAAAGCTTCAGTCCATGCTGTGGTATTATGTTTAGAGAGCAGAAGGTGTGTCTAGGAACCCTGGTGAAAGAGTCCCATTATAGCTCTAATTGGATACCATTTGGAGAAACAATACAGCATAGGATGAAGCTAGAAAAGGCCACCTGCTTGGTCCATAGCCATAACCCGAAGTTATGGTGACTGTACACCAAAGTCTTAAATTGTATTGTTGGAATAACAAAGGTGCATGGTGTGTGTGTGTGAGTGGGTGTGTGTGTGCGTGTACGCACGCACACACAGGAGCACATGTGCGTGCATGTAAGAGACGGTTTGAGTTGGGCTGTAATGTGCACTATGTTTTCTGTCAGCCCATTTCAATTTTTCCAGCCTGCCATGTTGACAGCAAAAGAATAAAGGAGGTCACAGAGGGTGCTGAACATTAAAAATTAATAAAACAACTATTGCGGTAGTATTTTATATAAGTGGTACCATTCACACTTTCTCATTTATACTGCAATTTCTGAATATTCTCCATGCTGTAAGTCAGTCTAATAAAACTGCAGAATTATAGCATTAGGGAAAGTCTTTTGTGTCACCATTTTTAAACCTACCTGCACTTGCATGCAAACATCAGAAATCATAGCAATACCTGAAAGCAAACTAGCTATACCTGAGGGCCAGTTAGCATTTCCATAAAATCTTCTATTTCTCAGATTTACAAATTCTGATGTAAATATTCACTCAGGCTGTAGTAGATCTAAGTCAGTATAGAGCGTTTATTTAAAAACAAAATAAAACAAAAAAAAAGCAAATCACCATGATATTTGAAGGTTTGTCACTTATTTCAAATAGAGTTCATGAAAAGTCCCCCCAGGTTTTTTTTTTTAAAGTCCTCTGTTTTTTGTTTTTTTTTAAGGCCTGCACTATAGCAGCAAAAGTTTCTTCCAATGAGCGCAAAAAAAACCACAATAAAACAAAAAAAAACAAAAAAGAACAACTGCTTTGATTTAAAGGTAATGTAATCTGAAAGGCAGTTCAGGCAGGGGTAATATATATTTTGGAGGAGGGGTAAAATCAGTTCTATAATTGAGTATCTATAGTATTAGCAATAACAAAACAAAGCCAAACACACTTGTGCTAAATAAGTGTTAAATAACAATGATGTTCAAATAGGAGAGGTAGTATAATCAAAATAACTAAGTATCTTTCTTAGTAATATGGAACATGGCTGTCAAGACTTAAAATGCTACCTCCAAGGAGAAAATCGCATGAAATAGACCAGTATATCTTTACAAGATTTACAAAATTTGCCAAAGCACAGTACTAATGTCTTTCTAAGAGTTCCCCAGAGAATTGGAATTTGTAGTTGAGTCCTAGAAGAGCTGCCTGAAGCACAGAATCAAAAACCTGAAAGCTAAATACAGCTCAATTTCTGGTGGTTATACCACCTATATTTTCCATTACTGGGGAAGAACTGTTTTCTCTAGTAGGTTCACGAGCTCTTTGTGGATTAGTTATACACCTAGTCAAACCAGACTATGGTCGAACACCCTAGCAGCCAGGGTTGGGGAACCTGTGGCCTTCAGGCCAAAGGTGGCCCTCTAAGTTCCCAAGTGTGGACCTTTAACTGAATTGAAACTCCACAGAACAAATCCTCTTAATAAAAGGATTTGTTCTGTAAAACTTGGACTCAGTCAAAAGGCCGCACCCAAGGACCTAGAAGGCCACATGTGGCCTGAAGGCCACAGGTTCACCACCTTGTCTAGCCTTTTAAAAGAAGGAAGAGGTGTTGTTTTTTTTTTTTTAATGTCACAACATACCACCAATGAATCATAATTTCCTTTGGTTCTTAAGAATGAAGACTTCATATCAAGTAGCAAAAGCCTTATTAAGGAGACTTAATAATGACTGGGAGAGGCAGCATGGTATAGCAGATAGGTAGCTGGCTTAGATCAGAAGATGCCATTTAAAGTCCAACTTTTGGCATATACTAGCTTTGGGATCCCGGGTAATGCACTTCCACTCTCAGATCCCCCAGGTAACTCCCTGAGACTGTATATTGCTGATAAGTCACTGATCTGAACCCAGGGAGATAGGCTCCTCACCAAGAGTTCCCTACCTTCATGATATCACAGATCCAGACAAAAAACTGGAGTGTTAAGTATTCTCCTCTTCCAGGCATCAATTAAAGAAACTGTTTTCTTGAATCTGATTCATCTGAAATAGCTTTATGACCACATTGGGAAAATCGTAATGGAATGATTCCATGAAGAGAAAGCATTTGAAGTAAGGTAATTTTGAACAAATCTATTTAATGAGAAGAGAAAAACATTTTCCAGTGGCTCATTCTGTCTTCAAAACTTTGAGATTGGCTGACTGTTCTTCTATCTGTGTCTGATTTGTTGAATTTCATGAAAAGTGTCATTATTTTTCCTCTTGTGGTTTTCACATTTGGACTCTGTTTGAAGATACTGTCTGATAAAGTAAATTATTTCAACAATATTCATTTTTATTTAATAATAAAACTGCCAACTTGTTGTTACTACTATTTCTGAGATGGGAAATTGTCTAGGATGAAAGAACAACATGTTTGAACTTCTAGGACCTTTATTTATCATGTAATACACGTACAGAAATCCTTTATATAAAAGGGCTAAACATTAACTAATACATTTACTGAGCAAACTAACAGCTTATTCAAAACAGAGCTGTTACAGTCTACAAATAAATAACAAATGATTGGAAAATTGTCTAATTTTCAGCTAAGTGGTGCAGTGGATAGAGACTTGGGCCTGGAGGCAGGGAAGATTCATCTTCCTGAGTTCAAATCTGACCTCAGACATTTACTAGCTGTGTGACGTTGGGCAAGTCACTTAACCCTGTTTGCCTCAGTTTCCTTGGCTGTAAAATGAGCTGTAGAAGGAAATGGCAAACTGTTCCAATATCTTTGCCAAGAAAACCCCAAATGGGATTACAAAGAGTCAGACATGAAAGAAACAACTGAACAACAACTAGAAAATTGTCAGCAATATATTATTTCCTCCTTCTGGGCTGTTCACTGTGAGTTCTGTTAACTGTTCCACAATTCCTTATGGTAATTTTTTTTTCTTTTTAAACTTTTTAAACAAGTATAAGAAAGGACAAAGTGGACATTTTGTTAATAGTTTTGCAAACTTGTGCTTAGCATTGTTAAGTATAGATGTATAAATTATACAATTTGAAGAAGTCTTAATAACTTCAATCAGTGGTTTTGAATGAAAGTAAGAATTTAAGCACTGACCCTCCTCCCACCCCCAATGTTTTGGTTTCTCTTTAAACAGATCTTTAGGAATAAATTTTCAACTCTTTGCATAAGAATGTAGTAGCTATCTTTAGCTTTGGTTGCTCAGTGTCTACAACTAATTTCATATATAATACATGAAAAAGCATAACCTTTCTTGTTGTCTTGATAAGCTTATGATTATCATTTCTTTAAAACTGAGAATGAAAAAATATCATATTGTCTCCTAGAAAATCAAGAGTTGTGCTTGAATTTTATTGTAACAAATAGTTTCATACATACTAGCAATAACAAGATTGTTTGAAGAATCATGCTGGGGTTCTTACATCATATATGAATATAAAAAAATCCACGTGCCTCAGAGTTTTATTTTATTAAGTAGCTCTTAATGGTATATATCTCATATATAGATATATGTATCTATATATATATAGAGAGAGAGAGAGAGAGAAAGTAAGTAATACAAGGACAAAAAATGAAATAGAACCTACTTTCAAGGAGCTTACATTTCATGGAGAAGAAATAATAGGTATACAAATTAGTAAATGCAAAATATGCACAAATTAAATATAAAGTCCAGGGGAAGGGAGGGGCAGGGAGAGAAACACCAACAACCGGCAGGTGAGGAAAAATTTTGTGTTTATAGTAAGTGGCACCTGAGCTGAACCTTGAAAAAAAATAAAAATAACATTTATAAAGGGGTTTAAATTTTACAAAACACTTCACATATGGACTTTTATATAATTATAAGTGCATAGGTAACTTTTATCAAACTCACCTAAATTATAGCCTATCAAATTAAGACCTCTGTGTTACCATCAATAGCTATAGAAGTTTCAGTTTCAACATGGAAAATAAAAATAAATATCAAATTTAAACAAACCAAAAACATAA